TTTTTTTTTTTTTTTTTTTTTCCAACTGGCTTGACTGTTTTGAGTTGGTGTGTTCTCTTGGAGATGTTACATAGAGTTGAGAAGTGTTGCTTCCCACTCATTCTTGTGCTTTTTTGATGCACTTGGGACACGATGTTATGATTTATTTATTTATTTATCATCAGGTAAATAAATGATGGCTTTAGCACAGCGACCTCTTCTGCTCTAGGAGGTCGATAATGAGAAAATCCAGACGGAGGGTGRCAGAAATGTGACAGCACTCGTCAGGGAGGACTCAGCAGTGACGGCTCCCCGCCTGCCCACGCAGGGGCACCGACTCAGACCAGGAAACCCCGGGGATTACGGCCTCTCGTCCGGATGACAGCAGGAGACAGCCGCGCTGCTGGGTGGAGCTAGCRTTTAGCTAAGCTAACACTCTGAATTCGACAGAACACAAATGGATAACTATATTCATAAAAAGTAAATTGGGATGTTTGGAGCTGTGAAGGGGTTTCCTGCTGTCATTGGATGGACTGACAGCTTCTCTTCAACAACTGAGGGTGGTTGTGAAAATTTCTAAAGGCTTTCCAGGTGAGGCTTTAACTTGGTGCTAGCTTGTTAGGTAACCCACTCCGCAAATAGTAGCCATTTCATGTTAGCTTCTGATATCAATATTTTTTTTTTTTTTGTGACCTGTTACACTGCTTGGACTTTATTAGAATATTAGGAAGAGGCTTTTCTCATCTGCTTGTTGTTCGTCAACAATATCATTGTTACAATAAGTAACTTATGAGAATCAGCTGTAATATGTGTAAAAAGAGTTAGGGAGTTGAAATGGAGCCATAAGGATTAGCACTGATTTTGCATTTAAATTAATGACACTGCTAACTGTTTTGAGCAAGTGCCCTGATAATGACAGGGTTCCTCAGACTTGTATGAGTTTATCTTTAGACCTTTTCAGGTTTTAATAAATTTAGATGACAAAAAAACTATGGGAAAACACTTATGTTAATTTCATTATTTTATAAGATTAAAAT